CTGAACATGGAATTGTTTCATATATGAAAGAACTTTTATCATTACCAAGTCGTGAAATACGAAATGTAAATGATTATAAAAGTTTATTTCGAAAAAATGATCAACCAATTATAATAGGTATTTTTAATAATGAACAAGATCGTTTATATCAATTATTTATTGATTATGCATATAAAAAAAGAAAAATTTATCAATTTGAACATACGTTTGAAAAATTATCAACATTAAATGATGTACAAGCACCAGCAATTATTCTTCAACATCATCCTGATGTTCGATCAAAATATGAAAATGAGAAATTTATTTTCAATAAAGTAATTCAGGAAGAGAAAGTAGACGGGTCGATCACTGATGAAATTGATTTCCTACAGAAATATCATGTTTTTCATATCTAATTTTTACTCAGGGTGTCCTAAAGTAATCTCTCGTAGAATTAGACCTATAGCAGTCGTTTATACTGCATCTCGAACGATTGAAATAGAGACTAGTATTTATATAACTCGATAGCTCTTTTCAAGCGAATGAAAATGCCGCGGAAAAAGCCACTACTTGATATGATTTCTCATGGAGCACATTGCCCTGATATATCTCTGGTATCAGTACTGCTCTACTGAATATATGTGAAAACGTCAACCAACTTTATTCCAAATCAGGCTACTTCTCCTGTGGTTTGATAGTACTTTTCACTCGCTTCAAAATGGTATAAGAGTTTTGAACAAAAAAAGACCATTGACTACTGAAAGAAATATTAAGGACACTGTTCGCAGTACAAGATTCTGAGCCTTTCTTTACTGATATTCAGTAGATTTCAATAAGAAAATTACGATTCGCTTGAAAATTAATGTAATATTCTGAACCACTATCCAAACTTGAACGAACTTATATGTATTTCAAAAATTTTCGCGATCTTTTTTTTCGTTTAAAAATTCATTCCTGGTATCCCTCATGGTTAGATCAAAAAATGAATTTCATCGAAAAGTTACTTTGACAGTGAGAATTAAGTTCTAAGATTATGAAATGATAGTAAATCATCATATAGCAGATCAAATAAACAATAAAAGCAGAGTTTTCATGAAATTCAATTTTTGAGCTAAACTTGAGGGGAACCACGGTTAAACTTTTTGACGAAAAAAAATTGTAAAAATTTAGAAAAAGGACAAATCTAATTAGTTTGGGGTGCTAATTCAAAATATCATATTAGCTGATTATCATCAACGGTCAGGTTTAATATTATGTGACGACCATTTACCATTTTAATTGATCTGTACACCGTACAAAGAAGTGCTATATGACTAATTCTACGAGGGATCACTTTTGAACGCCTGGTGTGGTAATTTGACATAGGAGAAATCAAGTTCCTTGAGATGACTATTTTAATTTATGTACAATTTATTGTATGTTTCAGGAGGATGCACTTGAAGATGATATTGAACAATTTATTGAAAAACATAAAATACCATTAGTTGGTATAATAACACAAGAAAATCAACGAAATATTTATTTATCTCGTCGTCCAATATGTATTGTGATATATGATCTTGATTTTTCATTTGATTATCGTGAACGAACACAATATTGGAGAAATAAAATACTTAAAGTTGCTAATAATTATAAAAATAAATGTACATTTGCAATAGCTGATGAAGAAAAAATGTCATCATTATTAAAAGAATTTGGTCTTGAAGAATCAGGTGAAGACGTTAATGTTGGTTGTTACGATTCACAGGGTTTAAAATATCGTATGGAAGATAGTGATGAATTTACATCAGAATCATTTGAAGATTTCGTTAATCGATTAGATAAAGGAAAATTGAAACCATATTTTAAATCTCAACCAATACCAAAACAATTAGTTGTCAATGGAATACATATTGTTGTTGGAAAAAATTTTGATAAAATTGTTAAAGATAACAAAAAGAATGTTTTAGTCTTTTTCTATGCACCATGGTAAGATTGATTTTTTATTAGATTTGTGTAGGGTTACCCTTTTCCGTACCCTGTGTCATGATTGAAAGATATATTCTAACTCTTACTCTACCTTACCACAATGTGCATCCAGGCGCATATTAGGTAAAAAAAAAACGAAAGTCACCCTTTCATCGATTCTAATAGTGATAAATATACTTCGAAATGTACACTACTTAATAGCGTAAAAGTTTTTGTTATAAATTTTAAGTACAGTGGAACAACAGGAATTCAAAAATTAGCCGAAAAACACTGGTATCGATGAAGAAATCAATTTTTAACAAAGTGAAATTATTTGGTAGGCAAACCCAGTAGATATTCGGAATCTGTATTTCGCCTGATATCGATCATCGAAAAAGTATGCTTTTTGAGAAGACAATAAACAAAAAGCTTTTTCTTAACTAATTTTCACCATGGCTAAGATCAGTAAAATGAACACGCGCCAATCTAAATTTGATCAAACTGGGACGTAGAATAGAACATTCTGTGTCCTCTTTTATCACAGTGAGCATCAACGCCCCTAAATCATACAGCATATAATTAGAATTAGCACGTGAAACTACATCGGGTGATGTATAACAGAAGATATTATCTAAATTAAAAAATATTGACAAGAGGTTGCCCTGATGCGTTTTTAGTCGTAGTTCTTTATTTTCTAAGTTTAATGGAATCACTTCTGGGCAATAGAAGCCAACTGTGTCTACTCCTGAAAAATCTCTACTTTATCTGTGTCTATCTATTTGATTGATTTCTAGGTGTGGACACTGCAATGAATTTAAATCAACGTACGGCAAACTTGCTGAACGCTATGCTGGTCGATCAAATGTTATTTTAGCTCAAATGGATGCCACAGCAAATGATATTCCACAAGGTTTTGATGTCACTGGTTATCCGACAATATATATTGTACCAACGAATAATCAAGCAGTGAAATATGAAGGAAATCGAGATATAAATGATTTAGTTAATTTTATTGAGAAAAATATTGGATCAAAAAGTGAACTTTAAAAGCATGATAGACAATCAAAATTTTCTTTCTTGATTCATTCCGTAGACTGTTGCTGTTTTGCTTTTGTAATTTATTTATTTATTCACATTGTTTTGTTTTTGTTTTCTGTTATCACTGGTGCTTTTTATTCGCTTCAACCTCGAGTAAACTTATTCAGTCGAGAAAAAAGAAAAGAGAAAAGAATTTTTTGCCTTTTGTGTTCATTGTAAATGAATTGGGAGAAATTAGACTTGTATTTTATGATATTTATAACATCGATATTAAGGCAATATCTGTTGGTTATATAATCGACTTTTTTGTTAAATTGCTTAATTCAGAAATTTCTCTTTATTTGTAGATGACATTTTTTATGCGTCAATAGCTTTCAAATTCCACCTATTGGTGTTTCTTGATGATGAATATCGTTATCGATTGCGAATGAAGATAAATTATTTTGATTTTTTTGTATTTCTAGTTATCGACTATAACGAAGTTTGGTATTATCTAAATTTTGGGACGTCCTCGAATATCTATGCTGTCGAAAAAGAAATTGGTACTTTAGTATATGAATTAATTGATCGTATTCGCGTTAAATGAGTACTCTCAATATCGAACTATTTTAAAATATGACTTGCCCATAGCCTGGATGGAGGGAGATATTGAAATCTCAAGGTGTATATACAGTTAATGCCATGTGTTCAGACTTTGAAATTACGGTAGCAATGATTTTTTTCTTTTTTCGTCATAGTGCGATGGGTTCGCAAGTTACATAAGAAAAAAAAATATCAGACAGATTCAAAAGTAATTATACAACAGTCAAATTAACGTATCGATTATCTAGAGCTCGTTGGGCGATCCCGATCGAGTTCGGATCTAAATTTTTTCCGTTAATCAGATTTGGGTTCGAAAATTTCAGACTTGACAGACTCTACAACTACCCTTACATGTAACAATGATAGTATCTTGAAATTTTTCGTAAAGTTGCTTTTGAATATTTGTGAAATTGATTTTTCCAAGGTAAATTGTCAAGCTCTATTCAACCATGACGAAAAAAGAAAAATCAATGCTACTGTACTTTTGCAGTACAGACACATGACATTGACTGTAAATACCTTGAACTTCGAATATTTGAGTCCGTTCACACGATTGATAGCCGAAATTTTAAAACAGTTAGTTTGCCAGTGAAAATATTCCTGTGACTCACACATTTGATCAATTTCTTTAGTTTACTGTAAACGACCTTCGATTGTAAGTTGACAACTGAATCAGCTCTTTTAATAATTGATACCTTTTTTCTTTACATAACACTTTATCACATCATCAATAAAAAAAGCCTATGGTTATTTTTCGTAAAACATATTTTTCTGTCAATATCATCTTTACATTTTGCATAACTCATGCATGTGTCATGATAACTGTTATCTTTCAAGATAACAATATAACTTTAGTTACTTTTCTTCTCATACGATTCTTATTTATCAAAAGTCATTTCATGACACATTGCACATAAGATATTATTATTATGTAGATAAAGTTTTTTTTTTCTATTGATAATCAATTTATTAAACATGATGAACATGAAGAAAATAATTTATCGCAAATTTTTCATTGATCTCTGTGTGACTATTCTGTAGAAATGTGTTTTTTTTTGACATCGAAAACAGTGATCAGTCATTTTACCATTTTTTATGCAACTGAAATAAATGAATTCTTTATTACTTATATTGTGATAAGGCTATTTTGATATTTAGCGATTGATACTTGTTGAAGATTTTTCCGGATATTATCGACTATTCTATTCGATAGTATTCGGATTATATTTGTTATTGATCATACTAATCACAACAAGTACAGAAAACTAGTTTTTGTTTATATTATTAAAAACCCTTGTGTTTATGTCATAGAGCGGAAACTGTCGAGATAGAAATGAGTAAAAGTATTCAATGCTTGTGATTCGTCAAGATAAAAATGAGTCATACCCTATACGTCTTATTTTGCAGATATAAAAATATGTCGACAATTATTTATTTCATTTAAGTGAACAACTATGGCAAATAAATCTTTTCAGGTTGCTCTTGAAGCAGCAACAAATGAAAGTAATACCGAAGAGAATTGGGATCGAATATTAGGTAAGAAAAAAAATGAACTCTAAATTCATTATTTATTTATTTATTTCAGAGGTTTGTGATTATGTTAAAAATGGTCAAATAAAACCAAATGAATTACTTGATCAAATATTAAAGAAACTTAAACAAACTCGACGAACAAAATTGCAAATGAATACATTAACATTATTCGATGCAGCTGTTAAAAACTGTGGTCAAATATTTCATCAATTGTTTACATCACGTACAACAATGAATACACTTGTTGAAGTTATTGAGGACATACGGACAGAAAATACTGTACGTAATCGAATAGGTTCATTATTAAAACAATGGATGGAAGATCCTGAATTCAAAGACAAAGCACAATATGCAATGCTTGGTGCGACTTATAAAAAATTAACAATAGAAAAAGGTTATACATTTATTGATGGCTCTAGTAATCCACCAATATCGACAACTGTTGCATCACCACCATCTGCAGCTGTACGAAAAGTTCAAGATGAATTATTAGCCAAACGAGAAGAAGAAGAATTTAATAAAGCTAGTAAGTTTTATTGATAAAAAATTTTTTTTTTATCAATTGATTATTATCTATGAAAATCTTTTTTTTTATTTATTCAGTTGCTTTATCAATGCAAGAAGCAAACCAACCAAAATCTCAACAATCAGTTACTAATTCTCTTTATCCATCAATGCAACAATCAACGTCAACAAATATAACAACAATAATGAATGGAAATGAAAAAAAAGTAAAAGCATTATATGATTTTGAAGCAGCTGAAGATAATGAAGTAACATTTAAAGCCGGTGATATTTTAATTATTACCGATGATAGTGATCAACATTGGTGGAAAGGAATTAATAATGGTGTTGAAGGTTTATTTCCAGCGAATTTTGTTACTAAAAATCTTCAACAACCAGTCGATTCACCTAGTCAATCAACTGGCACAACAAACAAAACCGCTAATGTAAGAATTATAACGAGACGTTATTGATATACGGCCTGTGATCGTATATAAATAGCATCTATCATGATCGTTGTTGAAGGAGAGATGTTGCTAAAAATATCTGTCGTATTTGTGAAGGTCCGAATTTCAACCCATATACTTCAACACTCCTTTTAGATTAGGGATGTGCAGTTTCAGTGAAAATGCTGACAGTGAGTCTACTGACACATCGACTATACTGAATCACCGTTCACTGGGTTATCCCACTTTTGGTCGAAAACTGATGTAGAGCCTTCTGAATATTTTCTCGTTCAGAAAAATAAAAACCAAGCAGCTAAATTCGAATCAAATGTTTATTATTGAAAAGGAAACAATGAAAAGCAAACAAACATATTTTGAAATATTAGTCTATCGGCGTTGAATAATGTTCTCATTGTACAATCATAGCTTTTTATTCTTATAAAGTTGTTTTTTAATGTTTTTTACTTTCGATCAAAGTTGAGTTTACCGCTTACTGAACACTGACAGTCACTGGATCGATGTTCACTGAAGCATTGACACTTCCATATAATACGGATATATTAGGTAAATCGGTGAATACTAATTCAGCATAGTTAATGTGAGTTTTCAATGAACAATGTACTGAAACTACACATCGCTATTTTAGATTGTATTTCACAAAAAAAGAAAACAAATGAATTGATGTCATATAATCATTTGTTTTAGGATTTAAATCAAAAACAAGAACGTCAGGATGATATTGCTAAAGGTCAAGTTGTTATTGACGAACGTCTTATTGATCGTTGTTTAGCTATGTTACAAAATGCTGATCCAACCGGTGAAATTGAAGCTGATTCAAATGAAATGCTTATGCTCGAAGATACATGTTATGCAATGGGTCCACTTATTGATCATGAACTTGAAAAAGTTGATCGTAAACATGTACAATTAGAAGAATTAAATAAAAATTTACGTGAAGCCATGGAATTGTATCATCGTCTTATGGAAGAAGGTCGTATTCGAGCAGCACAAGTTAAAACAAATGCAGTTCAACTTGCCAATCAAATGTATCAACAACAACCACAAATGCCACCCCAACCATATTATCAAGTTCATCCAGGTTTACAATCACAATCACCTATACCCCCACAACAACCTATTATGTATCAACCTCCACCACAACTATATAATCAATTACCACCCCAAACTCAACAATCAATGCCGTATATTCCACAACAACCAACAGGTGCATATTATGTCGATCCTAATTTACAACAACATATGATGTATTCAATGCCACCTGCCATGATAAATCCTCTTCAACAGCCACAACAACAGCCAACTGCTCATAGTGAAACGCAATAATTTAATTCTGTTCGATCTGTAAATTTTTATTCTACGATTTAAATATACACATTTGTGTCGATTTCATTTCTTTCTTTTTCTTTTTCAATTGTATCGTTTCTTTTTTTTAATGAATCATACGGTCATCGTGTACTAGAGAAAACAACATATATATATATATAAATATGTTATTGTCGTTTGTTCAAAGCCATTTATTTATTTGAGATAAATAAGAAAACTAACACTTGAAGTTATTCTTTGTCATAAGAGAATAAATGCATTCCATATTTCAAAACCAGAAAACCATTTGTCTTTTGCTATTTTTATAGAAAAACCATCTTTGATTTCTTTTATAAATTTCAGTTCCATGAATCCCTGTTTTTTCTTTACTATGAAGAGCTCTTCATAAATGTGTCAAACTTTATACAAGCATATTTTATTATTTTTTTAATAAATGAGAGCAGTGTCTAAAGGTCGACAAACGAACAATTCAAGGTAAGTTATTCAAATATTGTCCTAATGAAGAAACATATCTGAAATCAAATTTGAATATTTTGACAAGTTTTAAATAAACAAATAATTTAATGTTGATTACATTATTTGCCATAAAATAAAGGAAACCTTCTACCACAGACCTCACTATAGAAGCTAACAGCATAAAATTAAATAAGATACATTTCTTTTTTCTAAAGGCAACAATTAACGTTCATCGAGGCTTAACTCACTGAACTCTAGACAGACGACACTCATAGCAAGTGATCGGAAAGCTTTTGAACAAAATTTTTGTTCACTTTTGATCCGCTAGAAAATATTTCTAACGAATTAAAAGCTATGAGTTGGAATGCTTTTTTCTTAATATGAGCTTACCAATATTGTCTCAGTTTTTGTTTTAAGGTAGTGAAATAATCTTTGAAAGGCCCAAGCGGTTACTTTGGACAGAAATTTGTTTTACTTCTACTATTGCGATGCAAAACTAAACGTTAGGGTCTTTATGGATATATCAAGTTATATATCAGAAGCCATCCTGCAAAATGCATTAGATGAAGACTTTTTTGTCTTTTAATAAGACATTTCAACTTTCGTTTTTTCTAAATACTCATTTCTTTGAAAAATCGACAACTCTTTTACGTTGAAAGAGGCTCATGAAAAATGCTTGTAGTCTCACTGGGGTAAAAGTGGCAGTTCAATTCAATATCACATTTTGTATTGAAGTGTTTGTTTTACAAAACGACATAGTCCGACAATTTTTAGCATGTTCGACAAGGAACTTATAGGATAAGCAAAAACCTGTTGGCTCTCAATTTTCTGGTCTTTCAAAAAGTCTCTTACTACTTTTCAACAGAAATAGAGACAGCATTTCTAAGCTCATATTCAAATTCTGGTTGCGACTTATAGTTTTCTTTTTGTCTGAAATGTCTTGAAGCAGGCTATAATGAACAAGCATGTTCACTGGAAACATCACCCCACAAGTTCCATCCAAACTAATTTTTCTGGTTTTCCTAAAGTTATTTCACTACACTCTAAAACACAAGATATTTTACGAAACCAAAAACGGATCTTCCCTGGGATGCATGGGCAGATCCTTTTTTGATTTCGTATGAAAGTTTTTCTCGACTAATAGACTAAAGGCTTCGCACCAGGATTTTGTACAAAACTATTTCACCGAAGCCGAAAACAAGATTCCGCACGAAGGGTTCATACTAGACATGTGCATGACTAATTCTGGTCCCGGTGTTAGAATTGAAAGTCTCTCTATAGCCTCGAAGCATAATAAAGTCTCGAAAACTACGTTTTGTAGAGAAATCTTTTCTCTACAATATAAGGCTAACACGAACACTATGGGATTATCATAGCCGGAGAAAATGGTGTCAGAGTCGACCGGGACCGGGACTAGTTTGATCCCGGTCATTATACTTGCTAAATTATTTCATAACGAGAATCTGTAAAATATTTTAAAACATACAGGCAGAAAGAGCAAAAATTTCTCCACATAATGCATTGTTACAGAATAATTTAAGAATGCAGCTGATGAAATAGCAGGTCAATGTTTCACCGGGACCAGAAAGTGTTTTTCGGTCCCGTGCACATCTCTACTCAGCAGGCACTAGATATAATGGTTTCCAACAGTTCAGATGAGGTATGTACGAAAATCGTTTTAAGATCAGAACTGATAATTGAATCAGAGCTGGACAAGTACGAACTCTCTCGGGTACGAGTTCGATTACAACGAAAACCACACTTGAGGCTGAGGATTTCGAATTCGATTACTTTGGAACATGTGTTCAATGCCATAAGAACATAAATGTCGAATATTAATGTTTGCACTTTTGCATAAGATCTAGGGCGGAAGAAATTAACTATTTGCTTCATCTTCGAAGCAAAGAAATAGATACCTGCTCCTACCTTAGCGTAACATATTTGTTCTAAAAAGACGAAAGCGGATAAGATCGTTTTTCTGCTCTAAACATATCACTGTTTTTCATCTTGAAATCAGTCCAGTGGCGAACTCTGATAACGTTCCAAAGATTTATTTCGCAACTTCTCTCGATTATTTTTTCAACTGACGCCCATAGTCCTCTGCGCGGTCGACAAAAACTTGGCCATCCTTTGAGAGAATACGAGTGTGACTTGAAAAATTGACCAAAAGATGTTACGAAACAAACCGTTGTAATGTTATTAGGAGTTGACATTGAACTTATTGCAAGATAAAAAGTTGACATGCTTTGGGGTTGACGAACGGTCTCATCCACTGTCATCATTTTGGGTGTTTGGTACTCAAGTACGCGCACGAGTACCAATCTCTCGAGTGTAAGTTTATCAAGTGTTTTGCCCAGCTTTGGATTGTATCATGTGTTATCGAAATTTTTGTCTGATCTTGTTTCTGATACTCTTTAAAGTCTCTTCAATGATCGGAAAGAATATCGGTGAACTCTGTTTGATAACTGATCGAGATCATAGTTACTGCTCAGCTATCTGCTATTGTAAGAGCTTTTCCAGATTACACTGAATTCATTCCTTCTTCCAATAGACTAAAAAATTGATTCTGATCTTTTGTAAGTCCTCCCCTAAAATTATTGAAAATTCATGAACTTTTCACAGGCATACATACTGAACAGCAGTTGTGAACATCTTCAATCTTTTCATGATCGAATCCGATGCAGAACCTATTACGAATCTCTTGTATTATTTTGATTTCAAAGTCGTGAGGAACTGCTTCATAAGTCTGACCTAATCCTGTTTCAAATCTTGCCAAAATCTTTTCATTCGTTTCTCATGGGGTTTTTAAAGAGTTCTACCCCATTTGAGGATAAGAAAGAGAATGAATGGATGGGTGAAGAGACGAATTTCACCTTCATTTATCCACCTACTGTTTCTTGCAATTTGTTCATCCATGAGTCTACAAGAATCAGTATGTAGATTCTTCTGCGAAATACTTTCAGTGCTGAACTGACAAGTATTACGTAGAATCTCTTATGAAAGAAGGACTTCACCTAAAATAAAAGCAAAAGTGCAGTTAATCAGAAATTTATTTGGACACCTACAACTTTTAACATTCCAATGAGTATAGGATCGAAGAAGAAACGTAGTGCCAACCTCATTTATACCCTTCGAAAGCTTAAAGTTTGTCCAATCTTTCATATAAAAATCAAAGATTCCTACTCAAACCTCGCAAATCTATTATCGTTTTCCTAAAAAAGCGGGGTTGTTGAGTAGTAAAATTATTATACATTTGGAAATAAAATAGCAATGAGTATTTTTCATCTCATAATTGATAGAAACAAGGCAGTGGTCTATGGTGTTCATCACTGGAAAAAAGCACCGAGTCATATATATCAGATTTTCCTCCCACGTTTTTTATCAGAGGTCCATATGAAACTTTTCCAATAAGCTTTTAGCGTAATACATACGCGATTGAAATGTAAAACACGATGAAGTTGCTTTCGTCATTAATGTATTCTTTCGCTGTGCTGATAACGATTGTGAGCAGATCATAGAGACAGCATGTGGAAAATTGTCTCTCATAGCTGATGGAAGAAGCCTAGAAGTAGTTCAGTTTTCTCACCAGTAGCAGAAGCAAAATAATAATATCTCTGCTTTTCAGCTTTCTAGCAGTATATAGAGCTGCCTGGCGATAAACTTAGAAGCTAGATATCTTCCCTAAAACTAATACTAGTTGTAAGTATGGACAGAAGGTCGGTCTGATGCAGAGTTCTTCCGCTCAATTCTTTCCCCTTCATGCATATACTGACTAACGACATACCAGTCATTAAGGCACGTATAAGTTACGATGTAGTCAGCATGCTATGAAACTGCTTGCCTCAGAAAAAGAGTCATTCTGGACTTGTCTAGGTTCCTTTCGTGACTGATGGTATCCAAGTAAGAACACAATACTTTTTGGATATCTGCCAAACAATGTAGCCACTTAGCTTTCCCGACTACTTTCTCACTATTAACTTCAAATACTCATTTTCAACCTTATTTCAGACTACTAGCTTTTTCCTACCATCTTCAATGAACTTCACAATACTCATTTTCAGCCCAACAAATCACGAAAGTATAACCCGTAGAATAATTATCCCCTATTTTGTTTAATAATTCACAATGTTTAATCCTTCAAACAAATGCCCAAACAAAAAATATTCCTTTCCTCTTATTTTATTCATCCTGCAACCATCTCATATGCACTTTTTAACATAGACACTTACAACACTAGAACTCTCTTCCAATAAAATCGAAAATCCTGAAGCACAACATCTCGCTGATGTACTACGAAATAATACGGTGACACTCACTCGCTCTTCATCTACTATACATACTTATTTACACCCTTTCACACAGACACTCAACACACTAGATCTTCGACACAATCAAATTAGACCTATTGGAGCACAACATCTCGCTGATGCATTGCGCAATGACACGGTGACCTTCCTTCTCTCTTTATCTTTCTTGTACACTCATTTGCACTTTTTCACACAGACGCCCACCACACTCTGAAAGAAAAAAAGGAGTTTTGCAGA